AATCCATTGTGGTGGTGTATAGAGCCAAAGATGTTAGAATTGTGTCAATGTCCCAATATTTCTGGACCTGACTGTATGTATGCCTTGAGTTGACCAAAAAATACACAAATATCTTACTCTAAAGTGACTGTTGACTTAGCTCAGCGTTCCACTACTTGGCACTTTCCAAGTATGTTTCATTCCAACTCTAAGAATTTTTAATCAGCAAAGATCTATGTTGGATGAGATTTCTGGGACCTGAAATCCAACATGAGGACAACAGGCCAAGAATACTATGAATTATTTCCCTAATAAAGGATTGACAAAGATATTTTAAGAAACTTTGAAATGGTACAGATGTTTTCATCTTCTAATTAATTTCCACTGCTAGAGTGATTAAAGATTTATATTTGGAAGGAATAAACGTAAGTCTTACTAAGCATAATTCTGATTTCCATCAGCAATTCATACAAAGAACTACAAATACATAACTCAATACTTGGATCAGGGATCCTACAAGACCAGTGTATATCAATATAGCCATATGCCCTTCTCCACAATTGCTGATCTTGAGCACAGTTCCTTCAAGTGGCCAGTATCTCTACTGCAAGGTATACCTTAAACCAGGAGGAACTGCTGCCAACTTCTAGTTATGAACAGACAAGAGCAACTTTACAGTACTACTTTCATTAGAAAAATGACTATACAGATAGGTAGTATCAGAGAAGTACAACATTAAATAACAGTATGATATTGAACTAAATGGGATCAGTCTTGTGTGCTGCAGAGACTTGTTCAGATCTGACAATTTGTAGACAACAGACCGAACAATCTCCTTAAAAGTGCAGTACACTTCAAAAGCACAGTATACTGTACATTTAAAGAACTCCCCACTCCCTTGTAAAATGCCACAGCAGCAGCTATCTCTGTACAACAATACTGTATCAAGTAGCATTTTTTCCTATTCCCTTCCCAACTTTTTGACCCCTGCCCCTGAGGTCAATATGCTCCAGCCTGGCTCATTTGAATCCTGTTCATCTTCTCAGATTTTCAAGCCTTTAGTTGGAAGCCACCCAGAGCAGTCAGGAATTGAGCAACCTATAATTTATACATATGTATGTATGAATAAATAAATAAATAAATCCTCCTCCAGCTAGTCCACTTAGTGATTTCCACATTGGTGAAATTACTAGCCTCTCTCTCTCTCTCCTCATTAGTATCTGTTGGCAGTTAAATACCCCTGAATTTGTTGCATCTCCATACCATAGCTGCCTGTCTCCCCTTGTTAGATGGGCAAAGTGCTGCATGCTGGCTGGGGAATCCTGGGAGTTGAAGTCCATATATCTTAAAGTTGCCAAGTTAGAAAAACAGTGGCTTATTCTAAGCTTTCTCTTTTGCTCATTTCCCTAACTATTGCTCTTCAGGATAAACTACTACTGTTCCACTCCTTTCTTCCCCTACCAATGCACACGTTCTCTGTGCACCTACAGTTAGTTTTAGGGAAATATATAACAAGCTGTCTTCTGAGGGTTTCCCCCCTTGCCTCTGTCTTTGGGGCAGATCCCCTGTCTTTTATAGGTCCCAATTACAGTATGATGGCCTTACTGACTCCAAGCCATCAATCAGAAATTTCTCCCTTAATCTTTATATCAGTGCACTTTAATATCTCTGAGAATCCTCTTTCTTCTGCATCTGATGTCTTCCTGCTTTTAGCTCCTTGGGAAATAAAAGGATCATCTCTAGATCAGGCAGATTCTAATGTCTGTGTCAGAGCCGTTACGTCCATAAGGTTGGAAACTTCCAGTGATTACTGATTCACAGAAAAGTGTTTTTAGGGCTATGACTCACCTACATCAGAGAAGCTAGATCTACATCAGATAAGGTAGAAAGAGTACAAAATGGAAGTATTTGGGGTGATTTTTGGGGAGTAAAGGCACCTCTGTCATTGCCATAGTACTGCTGTCTCGCCTATTTCTCAAAGACATGGATCTTGGGGAAAGGAACAGGAACTAATTTGGGGAAAGCAGCACAATGTAGATGTGACATGTTTTAAATCCTCTAATTTTTATATCTTAATTACTTGTTACTCCCCTGGTAGCTGAATAAAGGAATGATTTCCATAGTTTCTTCTCAAAGAGCTTTTGGCATAGAGTTAATAATTGTTGCTCAAGGCTAACTTAAGAAAGCTGAAGTTGATTTTACCTTTCACTTTGGAGTCTTGAAAATATACCTGTGACATATGTTGGCAGGAGTGGCTTAATGTTCAGGTCACACAACAAACAAACCAAAAACAAAAAAACAAAAAAACAGCAGCTTGGAAAAAATTAAGAGGACTCCGAGTAGTTTCTCATTTTAAATAGCATGAGAATAATTGAGGTTTTGTATTTAATTAGAATTCTGCTAATTTCAAGGGAGCTAAGAAGCCACTCAGTTATCTCTAGATCAATTTGAGAGACCCTAACCCTATGAGCATAGAAACACATAGAAGCAATAATCATCATATGAGATGTCTATCTATTCTTATTGATGTTTGATGACAAGCATAATTGCGTTGTTTGTAGGACATGCATAGGAGAGTCAGCAGGCCTGTGAGGAACTATGTGGAATTTCTGGCTGCTATTTAGAGTCATCTTGTCAGATATTTTAAATGGCAATAAATTTTTCCTCTGTCCAGCTGGAAGGGGCTGCCTAGCAGACTCAGATGGACACATGATTTAGAAGGTGATGCAGTGGGTCAAGTTTGTCTTTAATGGAGGCAAGGCTTAGATAAATCAAAGATACTATGTCTGCAGTAAGAAACATTGCCTTGATAACAGATTATAGTAGGAGCAAGCTCTCATGGGATTCCTACATAGCTTGTCTCTGCCTGGTCTGTTAATTAGAAAGTAAGATTTTATTTGGAGGAGAGGGTGTGCGATTGTGTCATTTCTCACAATGGCTTCAATTTGGGTTTAGAGGATCAAATTTGTTGCTTTTAAATTAATCATTCTTTACAAAGGTGCAGTCCATCACTGAGGTGAGTTCATTAATCTTTCATTGTTTTAAGCCTTTCCTGAGAGTTGAGTGTCCAGACTTTGTTCAAATACTTTTTGTTTCTTTTTCTTTTTCAGTCAGGCAATTAGTAGAATGATACACAATTCTAAAAGGGTAAGTAGCTGAAAGGAACAGGTAATTGAAAGAATAAAAGAGAAAATTAATAAAATTAAATGTACTGAAGTCTATGCAAAGGTAATATGTGGTATGCAGAGATGACTAAATCAGCTGCAGTGTCAGTACCAACTTGGTAAAATAAAATAAAATATAAAAGAAATCAAATCAAACAATCAAATGCTAGACTAGTGTGATCTAAGTAGTTAACTGTAAACTTTGTCTGAAAAAAATCTGACTGAGCAAGTACATTGAACGTCTAGCAATTTATTTTACATTTATTTCATGCCAAATTTTACTTAGGAGTTTAAGTTGTTGATCATTATCCTTCATCTGAACTTCCTGATTTAAATATCAAAGTTTGTATTGGAAGCAGTACAACCCAAATGTAACCTCCTATAACGGAAAGAAATGAGAGAAAAATAATCAAGGGAGCATCATTGCAATATTTATTTGACAATTCCTACCTTCCACAGTTACTGTCCATACCACATTCCAGACCTTTGTGAGGAACCACCCAAATTTTAGGACTGGCTTTTGAAGGAGGCAAAAGAAATTAGCAAAAAAGAACTGTTGAGGTATTCTCTAAGGTTTCACTTTAGCACTGAGATATAAAGACACTATTTCTTTCCTTAGTAGTTATTTGCATATACACATCACCTTGTTACTATAAGCAGCTATAAATAAGAATAAATAGTGCTATGTTCTTGCTCCATTTGTATCTGTATCGGTCTTTATCCTAACCTACACTCCACTAGCGTGGATTAATCAAAAAAGTTTGGGAACCATGGCCTAACTTGTGATGCATGTATGCATATTAATCACTTGATTTTTTTCAGTGACTATTTATTTAGTCATTGGCAATTTTGTGAACTCAGTTAAAAAACAAACAACTCTTAAGATGATAAAAAACAACAAAATTCTAGCTTTGGTTTTCTTTGACCAGTTATTATTGATTCATGAAAGCGGTAACAGGCACATAAGAATCAGCCTTAAGACCATGACCGCTGATTTTGTGAGGGAAATAATATTCACTCACAAAATTGAAAACACGTAATTTGTGTGACTGCAATGGAAGAGAAAGCAGTGCTTCCCTCTTGATAGTTTCCCAAGAGGAAGATTTTCTTCATGAACTTCAGAAAACAGCAAAAACACAATTCACCAATACATACTGTTGACAATTAAATTGCTTTAGATTTGCTTTAAGACATACACAGTCCATGCCCAATATATTCCAAAAGCTTTATAAAGCAAATCAGCAACCTTCCAATCTTGTTTCTAGTGCTTTGTTTCTATCTAAACTCTTGATCAATTGTTAGCATTGACAATTACATGATATCAATTGACTTATATTTTCCCACAAAAATAGACTTTAACCACAAACTTTATTTTGTATGTATTACACTGTGAATAGTATAACAATTCAATATTTTAATTTGACTTCTGTTTACAATTTGAATATAGTTGTCAGAACAAGACATACTTTTTTTCAAGTGAAAAGAGATGTTTCTCAAGAAACCTTATTTAATTTTCATGACTTTTTCAATGGACATAATTAGGTGTTCCATTTATGGGTGGTGTATATAGGTTTGGCATTCCTTTTATAAATATATTCAGAATCATATTTTATTTAACAATACATTTATTTACAAATAAATACAATCCTATAGTCATTTAATAATTTATCCCTTTACATTTTCGCTATTTTTTTCTTGCATTTTTTCCTACCATTTTCACTGCTACTGTCACTGTCGCTAGCTTCCAGAGTTCTTTTCCGTTTGCGAGTATCTTTTGTAACAAGATATTGACTGTGTTTTTTTGATTCTGGGTAGACACTTTCAAAAGAACCTTGTCCAGGATTCAGGTAGGATAATACTGGAATACTTGGAAATTGTGGTGGTGGTGGTGTCATCTGTGAGTAAGGAAACGGCTGTCCCATTGGATTATATGGAACATATTGCTGTGTCAAACAACATGTCATCTAGAAAAAAGACAATTTTAAAATATTTGAAAACAAGTCACCCCTACCTTCATTGTTTGCCATATGAAAACAGACTGTGGGTTACTTAAAAATCATTTCAAATTATATACTTTATACCAACATGAAGGTGACATAAAGAAGGTTTTTTTAAATGGTAATATGTAATACCTTCAAAGATTAAGCATGATATACCTGCAAACCATAAAGTTGCATAAGCTGTTTGTCACTACTTCATTTTCATTTACATCATTGAAGTAAAATTATAAACTGGAAGTTTATTGGGCTCTGACATGTTATTTAGTTATTTATATGTTTTACAGAGCTTCCCATCTCACAGCAATGACCATCATAACACTGCAAACTCATAATGCCCCGGTTAAACACCTGAAACAAAACCACATCACCAACAGAGCTTGCCTAATTGCCTGGCCCAAAAGCCTGAAGGAACAGCCAAATCTTTAACGTTTTATGAAAGGCTAATAAAGCCAGGACCATCTGGATCTCTGGGGGGATTCTGTTCCACAGGACAGGTACAGACACAGAGGCGGCATGGTTCAGGGTCCAACAAGATGGCATTGATTGATATAAGAGACCCAGAGCATGCCCTCCATGCTAGATCTGGTGGGGTGGGCAGAAATAATGGGGGGCAGGTAGTCCTGCAAATAGCCTGGTCCTATGCCATGTAGCATTTTATAAGTGGTAACCAGCACCTTGAATTTGATTTGGAAGCCTACTGGAAATCAGCACAGCTCACAGAGCAGTGATATTATATGAACATACTGAGAAATGACAAAAACTGCTTGCACCATTGCATTCTGGACCAGCTATAGCTTCCAAATACTGTTTACCCCATTCCATGTTATTTCATATAATTGTCAGGAGACATCTCCCTAAAACAAGGCAAGAAATGTTGGTAAAAATAAAACCATACACAAAAAATACTGCTGAAGGATCCAGCCTATTTCTCCCTTTAAGACAGTGATACAACAGCTAATAAGGCCAACTGCTAATTATAAAGTGCATTTCGCCTGCAAGTTGATAAAGGAACTAGACAGTTATGGGTGCAGCCAAAGGCTGAAAAGGCAGTATAATTTGGCTTTCTTACTCAATAATTGTTTCTTGCAATATATAAAAAGGAATCTGTCAACACATGAAATATTATTGGGATAGTTTTAGTGTCAGTATGCTAAACTTACCATGCTTTGAATGGCAGAATAAATCTGATGTGGATTATTATTCACCTGAAAAGGACTAACAGGTGATGGAATATCACAATAAGATTCTGTATATCTATTAAAAACAAGAATGAATAAAGTCTCATAAAGTCATTTATCTACTAACAATTTACACAGAATCTATTTCAATTCTTTAACAGTAGACTCTTAAACATGCCTACTCATCAGAAACTCCCATTCAACTTAATGTGATTTGACCATAGACAAATAAGTATGAAATAGCAAACAGCTAAATGTGCACATATTGGAATTCCAATTTTAGTGGAAGCTATACAATTAAATCCTAAGCCTATAGTCCTATGTATGTATACTTATGAAAAAGCTGCATCTCCATAACACTGCACAGACTTTAAGGTTTTGTAAATCCTAGAAAGTGGTGTATAGTGACTGTACATGCAGCTTCTGGGCCATATAGTGGTCTACAGGATCTTGGTGCTTTAATCAAGATGATCAAAGTAGTATTACACTGTTGTACCACAAGTCTGTGATGTGCAGTGTCACAAGGGGCTTGTGCCATGATGCGGGTGATCCTTTTTGTCTCGCCGCTTCCATCCCCCCACCCCCATTGGACAAAACTGAATGCACATTACCTGTAGGTTGATGCCTGTACATCACTATCCATATTCTGGGAAGGATTGCTTAACTCTAGGCAGTGAGTACTCCCTGTAAATGAAACACTAAACATTTTAGGATTGAAAAGGTCATTGTGTTTGTATACTTATGTATGAAAATATATAGAATAGAATAGCATAGAAACAAATCCCAGAATTATACCAAAATCAACAGTTTATTTTGAACACTCAGTAAAAGAAAAGCAACTGTTTAAAATAATTATATCAATTTTCACAACTCATATAGGATTACACCTAAATTTCAACCTCCTTTAAATTTAAAAGAAGAATTGTTTTACTGGGGGGCAAAATATTCAGTGGTTAGTGAGAAAACATCTATCATAGTTAGTTAAAAATTCACAATCCAATGAATTGCAACATTCGTTTCATAAAAGACAGGGCTTTTTATATTTGCTTTTCTCAAATACAGTAAGTGTTCTGCATTCAAGACAAATTGTTGCAAATTTGTAATTTAATTTCAAATGCAGTTTGTTTTCTATCACAGTGGCCATATATCCTGGAAGAAAATGGAAGATCCTTATATGAATCAAAACACTTCTCTATATTCTAGCCAAGGTAAATCTTATAGATGCATTTCAGTTTAAATGTAAAAGGTACAGTGCCTCTTCATTTGAAAAAGAATACTAATATAAAACAAAACATATAAGCACAAAATGTGCACAAGGGAGCATAATGCTTCTTTCTGGAAACACAATTCTTTATGCTACTTTTAAATAGGAAAAAAAATGAATATTTTGGTTTATCTTTCAGGAATTACTAACATGTAATTTGAATAGGATTCCTGAACAGTGCTATTGTCTGAAAGAAAAGCAATTGGGGCAAGTTTGGACAAAATTCATATGAGGTATGAATTCGTTTTTAAGACTTGGAAAAAAGTGATCTGACAAACCACCTATTTAAGAATGGATCAAAGCACTGATTTAGAAATAAGGGATTATAATAAAGGAATTTGATACCTTACTCAGTATAGAAATAAAAAGTGCATCTAGTATCAAATCACTCTAGTAGAGATGAAATTTCTTGCTACTTGATTGCAAGGGAATGAATATTAAAGGACAGAAATGTAGTAAATCAGTTTATTATTTGTTTAAAAAACATTAATTCAGTAAATGGACCCAACAGTACAGAAAAATATACTTGGTCATAGCAGAATTTTCTTTGACACATTATTTCATGTGTCAGGATTTTGAGGACATTTACATTTCATACAGATCTCTGAGTTTTTATGAAATATTATTGGCAGGTAACTAAACCTACCAAACCGGTATTGAACTTTAATTGGTCTTCCATATAAACGAATCCCATTCAGCAAAGCTATAGCATAAGGCACTGACTCTGTGTGTTTAAAGCAGACAAATCCAAAAGTCTTGGGGTTTCCATCTTTGTCCTTGCATATGGTGACTTTAGATACCGGTCCAGCCTGCAAGAAACTTAAAATTTATTTTCTTATAATTCCCAGATAGGAAACAGATTGTTACTTACTGATTCAAAGACTTGATGGATCTTATTCTACCAATGTAAACATTTTTCTTTTGTCCACAGGGGCAATACAATTTTCAATTCTATTCAATTACAACAATGTAATTTTCCTTCTAGCTCACAGCTTACTTAAGTATCTCGTTTTATTTTGTTATGGCCTAATTTACATGGAGTTGATCAAGTATCAAAGCAGTTAAATAATTTTTAACAGTTATACAATTCAATTAAAAATGCACAAGAAATAGTAGTCTGCTATTCAAACAAAAGCAAATGTATACTGTAGTCAAATATAAGACATATCCAAAGTAAATATCACAAAGTAATTATAGATTTATTAATGTGTTATATATAGTATTTTCCATGCTGGATTGGTAATCAATAGAAAGCTTTAGACATTCTGACAATCTTACAGGTTTAAATTCTACAGAGAAATAAATTGACAGCCCAGTAACAATTATTATTTTCATAATCCAATTCACATATTTCCCTCAGATACAAATGCTGTATCTAATCCAGCAGAATAAGGAAAGATGGCAACTGGCATGTGGAGAGAAGAGCTTAGACTGACAATTAGAGTTGGTGCAGGAAGATTTGGTTGTTATTTTGTATTGCTAGGAATATTTCCAATGAAATGGTAAAACCTTATGAGAACATTCACTGCTGCATGTCTTTCATGGTATTATCAATCTGTTGAATTCTTAGAAAGCTGCAGATACAACTGAAAACATATAAACTGGCAGTGATGAAAAAGGAAGAAAACAAGGAAGTTTATCTGGAATCAGCTGTAGGACTGTAAAAATATATTATTCCTTCTTTGTTGTTGTTAAACTGAATTTTCCCTTTTCTTGGAAAATTAAATTTAGCAGTAGATAGAATTATGTGGACATTGGGGTAAATTAATTATATCTTCAGATAGTAGCTTGCGGGCAGCCAAAAGCTAAATGCATACGAAGTGCTTACTTTGCTGAATTAATTCCAAATCTGATTCTTACTGATATGACAATGAAAGTAGAAGTAGCTTATAAAAAAAGAGAGAGAGAGAAAAAAAAACTTAGATATTTTATAGTATTCAATGCTGACAAAATATTCAATGTTTATGCTCAGTGTTACAGCTGTATTTTTATTTTTAATTATATTTTATATGCAGAAAGAAAAAAACAAAAAAAAATTACAAGAGTTTCAACGCTCATATAATAATTTAACTAATGGAATACAATTAAATTATGAATAGTTATGAATATTTAGGTCAGTTTACAAATGAAAGTAAAATGGTAAATTAAAATGTATAAACTACTACACATAACTCAAATTTGTAAATTACCCTCCAGTCATGACTTCTGGTTGTAAATGCTTGTTGAAATACAGAGAAAGGTTCTTTAGACTATTATAACTCACAGAGACTGGGTATCCCCCCAATCTTTCATCATCATCATCATCGTCATCATCATCATCGTCAATTAAAAAAGCACCCAATATCCACTTTTACTATCCTCCTGTTAATTTCAAAACCATGGGTAATTCAAGAGAACGTGAAAATCACAAAATACTGGCCTTCCAGAATAAAATTAAATATGTGAAATTAAATTTCACACAAAGGAACCACTGTTGCATAACACTATGTTATATTGAACCAGTGTTGTGTTTTGAGCACTGTATGTCTAACAATTAGGTGATCCCACCAATTTCTTCCAAAAAAATTCACGTTTAATAAATATAATCTTTGTTGAATAAATATCACATTTAAATCTATAAATGTAACATAGATGTGAAAATGCTTCCACTGATATTCAGGTATTAGACATTCCAACTTCTTTTTACCATGGTCCTGATGCTCTTGAACAAGTAATTAGTCTATTCTAAAACTATTTATAAATGATTGCTACCTTCATATTATTTTGTAAAGAAGATGTTAAGTCCCCTGGTATTAAAGAAATGCTAAAGGACTTCTCCAAGTCCTTGGAGATGTAATAAGGATAATGCTTCTATAAAACACATGTTTTACAATGTCCTATACTTACTAAATTATGGTAGAAAATAGTGGACTATATAAATGTGGCTGTGTGACAAAATCTAAAAGTTTTAGAGGATAATATTCTCTTGAACTACATACCCAGTACATGGAATTTAACAACTGGACAACATAAATGGATTCTCCATGCCGCTACTATGCCTAAGAGACTGATATTGCAACATTGGAAAGATAAACATATGGCCCCATTCACTCAATGGATTGAAGACCTGATTACACTTGCCACCTATGAGCAGTTAACTTATAGATGTAGACTTTGTATGGACAAGTATAAAGAAAGATGGGACACATTTATACAAAATACAATGGGTTAAAAAAAAGCATGATAGTTATATAACTGTATTAGAAATAAATATATTTATACTTGCATAATATTTGTATTAGATAAGTATATATAGAATTGAAACTGTTTACTCTTATAACTATACTTTGTATTTCTCTTCTTTGTTTTCATTTTTTTAAAAAGAACTTATGTGTCTTTTTCTCCTTTGACAATATATGTATTTCTATCATATTATCTTTGTCTTTTGTTCCTTTTTTTTCTTTTTGTTATTATTTTAAAAGCAATTAAAAAAAAAAAGAAATGCTAAAGGACTTAGGGCTGCTGGCCAATATCTAGACATCAAAGAAAGTTTAATTGAAAGTACTGCTGCTGTGCATTTTTTGGCAAATTATATTTATATTGCAACTCCTAAATCTTAATCTAATCCTACTAATTGAACCTAGAAATAAAGTATATTGTCGACTCTGCACTGTCCTCCAATAAAATGATTATCTTGTTATTTTCAAGATTTGATTTCACCATAACTTTAATTTAACATGATAATTAAGGACTAAATTGGGCATCAACAATCTGGACATCTCTTCTAAACTGGAGGCTATTCAGGTCCATTCATTTTAAAAAATAAAATTATACCACATTTTAAATAATTCTATTTTTCCAAGATAGATGGAGCTAACAACTTCCCATTTAGAAGAGATGTCAAATTTACTGACTTGAAAAGGAAACATTCCATTTATTATTTTCAGGTGAAAAACAAAGTTTTTTAGTATAAACTTAAGTTTGGAAAGTTAAAAAAAAGTTAAAATTTCCTTCTCTGATAATTGAAGCTTCCCAATTTAAAAATGAAAGGGAGAAGAGGTTTACAAAATAAATCTCTGCCTTAAATTTCTGAAAATATAGGAAAGAGCATACAGGAAAGAAAATAGAGAAATAGCAACATATATATCATCCATGACAAATATTGATTTTCATTTATTTTAGATACTGATTTTTCCCTAAAGTTTCAATTTAAATGAGAGCCATCTACCCAAATATGTTATTTAATCAGAGATAATTGCAGCCAAAATTAAATGATTGCCATTAGGCACTATCAAAACTTTGCAGGGGAAAAAAACAACAACAACCCTGTCTTTGACAACTTAGTAGCTGCTAAAGAGATCAACTCAGATTTAGACCAATCAATATAACACTCATTAATCATTCATTAATGTTATTATGTTAATACTATTAATTATTAATAATTATTTAATAATATTAATAATAGTTATTATTCAGATTTATTCACCAGAACTGAATGTTTATTAATAAGTAGAACTGAGTGTGTTACAAAATCTGGGAAATAAATATCAACAGATATAAATCTCGTTAGTTTAGCTAATAGCACATGCTAAATCAAACAATAAAGGTAAGAGAGAATAATTCTGTTACATTAATATCTCAAATAAAAAGCACTTACAGTTGTTAAAATCCCATTTGTGCTCACTTGAGTTTCTGGAGAAGAATAAAGAACTATAGTTCATTTTTAATTCTATAGTTCACATCTAATTCTTAAAACACTACAAAAAAGAGGTACAGGTAGTCCTTGAGTTACAGCTGCATTTGGGACAGGGATTGCCATCGCTATGTGATGCAGTCATAAAGCACGACCTCATGTGCAATCCAGGCAGTCCTGGTTGTCGTTGTAAACCATGACATGTGGATCATTAAATGGGAAGTGGAGAAGTCCCAGGTAAGGAGCACAGGGATGCCGGGGAGGGGGGGGGAAGGCCCTGGTGCAGGCCACATGCGAGTTGGGGGAGGAGGTGCTCAGTGTGGCTCAAGCTCAGGGGATTGAGGGTGCAGGATGTGTGAGATCACAGGGAGGAGGAAAGAGGGTGCAGGGTAGGTGCATGCCTATGTCCGATTGCAGGGAGGCTGTGGAAAGGGCATGGGGGTGCATGCATGTGTGCAAGCGCAGGGAGGCCGAGGAAAGGGAATGGAGTAGGTGCAATTGCAGGGAGGCTGAAGAAAGAGGGCATAAGGTGTGCGTGATCAAGGGAGGCCATGGAAAGAGGGTACGGAGTACGTATCTACAATTGCAGGGAGGCCATGGAATAGGGCACAGGTTACATGCGCATGTGTGCAATCACAGGGAGACCATGGAAAGAGGGTACAGGGTAAGTGTGTGGGTGTATGTACCTGATTGCAGGGAGGGTGAGGAAAGGACGTAGAGTGTGTGCGATTGCAGGGAGGCTGTGGAAAGAGGGTGTGGGGTGTGTGCGAGTGAAAGGGGAAGGAGGGCACAGTGCATGTGAGGCAAGAAAGGGGGGAGAGACTTACCCCAGGAACTTGTGATCTTCCTTGCTGGCTTCCCATTGACTTTGCTTGGGGGAAGCCGGCAGGGAAGGATGAAAATGGTGATCATGTGATTGCAGGGCGCTTGGCAACCAAATGTAAGTGCAAAGGAGTTGCCAAGTACCCAGATCGCGATCATGTGAACACAGGGGTGCTGGGACAGCCGCAACTTCAAGGACCAGTGGTAACTTCAAAGGGTTGCTGAGTGAATGATCGTAACTCGAGTACTACCTGTATTGGCAATAGTTTTTATCAAATCCTTTTCTGAAATAATTAAATCATTAGCAGGATCCATCTCAGTGTTATTTAAATCTATAGACTCAGTGTTCCAGTTCTATTAATTTCTTAGAATTAAGACTTTTTTTAAAAAAAATCTATATTTCTAACACAACATTTCCAAGCAAAATTCAGTTTGTTTAATCCTCACTCCTAGGAGAGAGAAAATTTTAGAGAAAAAAATACATTTCCACTCTTCTACTCTGGATTGCCTATTGAAGATGATGAACTTCTTCAAAGGTAGGAAGTAGAAAATCAAATATTCTGAGGCTTTTTCTTTTAAACATGCAGATTCTTCCTGTTTATAAAGAAATAAATAAAAAATCTGCTGAAGCAAGCTACATATACAGCTAGGGCTTTAAAATACAAATAATCCCATTTAAAATTATTTTTCCTCACTAGTAATAAAATATGAAAAAGCTGTATTGGGTAGATTAAGTCAAGAATGAAACATTTAAATTGTCAAAAGAACTATTAAATGAAGACACTTTTTAGACTATGTCCATTTAAGAAACTTTTTATCAAATTAAATTGCAGGAAAAAAAATAAAATTTAGAAGATGTTCAAGTCTGATTAATATGCCCAATACAATTTCAACGTGTCACTTAAAAGAGGAATTGAACTCACAACTTCTCCACTACTCAATTTGCACTTTAATACTGAAGTTCTTAATGTTTCTATATTTATGAGAAAACAATTTCAAGTTAAGTAGCCAAAGGAAAGAAGAAGGGACTAAGGAGGTCATAAACTGCACAAGACAAGGAAGATGTTTTTCTGGTAATAGTACAGAGTCTGTTACACAAGACAATAAAAGGAACTCAAAATGTACAAACCTAAACACAAAAGGGTATTAGAAAGTAGCATTCCCCCCTCCACCTCCCAATTTATTATGAATGTATTGTTAAGGATGGGATAATTTACAAGGAATAAATTATGAGTAAATATGAGTGCTTATAAACTCATATTCTTCCTAACAGACTACAATGTATGCCACAGTATTGGATTTAAGGCTGGAAAGCATATCAGACTACCTGATAATCAGAAAAAAAGTCAGGTCCTTTCAATTTTACTTGATTTTCCAAAGAATTCTGC